AGGGAGGCAGGGAGAGTCCCAGCATGGGGTCCAGGAGGCCAGCTAGCAGGGAGGCTCAGCCTTGACCAGTGGAGTCAGTCAAGAAGGAACATTCAGGCTTCAGATGGTGGGACTAAAAATAGACAGCTCCAAGGAGAAGCTGCATTGGGGGTGGCAGCTAGAGGCATCTTAAAATAGTGTTGGGCTTAGAGCCTGGGCCAGTAGGACTGACAATTCTTGTCTTCCCTGGCCCATAACCTCTGGGAAGCTCCTCCCTGGGCCCCAGCCCATGGGTAGCTCTGACACTGGGGTCAGTGGGGGGGGATAATGTGGGGTTGGAAGACAGGAGGTCCTGGAGAGGTGAGGGGGAAACAGGCCTCAGACTCCAATCTGTGTGGGGTTAGTTGTGTTCTCGGTGTGTGCACAGGACCCCTTCCCTGAGTCTAGGAGACACCCTAGTAGTATACCTTGGGGATTTGCTCAGCTACTAGGCCTAAGGGATCAAGCTCCCTGGCCAGGATGGTCCAAAGGCTGGACTCCTGAGCCCCCAGTTTTTCCGGCACAGGTTTTTCTTCACATACCTCCTGCCCCACAGTGCCCCACCCTCACTGCGCCCTCTGCTGGATAGCATCGTCAATGCCACAGGTGAGCTCCTGAGCCCATGTGCCTCCCATCACCTGGCCCTCCCCCAGCAGACATGGGGGCAAGCATGAGCCAGGGCAGCACAGGGTGCTGAAGCCATCATTGCCCAAGGTGGGCTCTGCAGCCAGCCTTCTCTCCAGCCCACCGGTGATCTGGGCCCAGGCTCCAGAGGAAAAGAGTGGGGAGGAGCGAGAACCCAGGCAGTCTGCCATAGCCACACTGCGTTCTGCAGGGGAGCTTGCCTGGGGGGTGGACGAGACCCTGGCCCAGCTGGAGAAGGTACTGCACCTGTACCGGAGTGGTCAATACCTGCAGAACTCTACGACAAGCGGCAGTGCTGGTGAGTGGCCCCAACTGGGATCCAGGGGCTGGAAAGGCAGGGAGCAGGTGGGGGGACAGGTGACCCTCCTCACTGGGCAACATGGCCCACCCTCGCCCGAGGGCTCCTTGTCTACAAAAGCCGCTCTGAGGGCTCAAGTTTAGCAACACAGGCTGCTGTGTGGCCTTCTCTTTGAGGTCCCATCTCTGGCTGAAGCTAGAACAATTACAATTCCACCTGGAGCGGGGCAGGACAGAGTGGACACTGGTATCCCTTCTCTAAATTATTCTAAACCCCTCCAGGTACTGGCTACAGGACTTGGAGCCAGTTACCCCGTGAGCCTCATTTTCCCCATCTGTGAATTGGGTTTAACATCACCCTCCTTACAGGGTTCTATGGGGGATTAAATGCCACGTGAGGCGTGTGAAAGCAATTAGCACAGTTCACACAGCCTCAGCACGATATAGGTCTGCTTCTCTCTCCTTCCTCTACCCTCCCATAGCTAGGAGGGCAGCTGGAGCTGGAGGGGGCTCCATATTGAAATCATCCAGGAACCCCCAATGGCAGGCAGAGAATTGTAGCCACTGGTTACAGATTGACCTTCAGCCCTGGGGTTCAGCCTTGGTTGGCAGGGAGGCCAGCAGTGAGCAGCCTCCATATTCAAGGAGCCCCGGCCACTCTTAGGGTGGGGGAGCCCTCGTTAGCCCTGTAAATAAAGTTTAACGAGGTGAACAATGGCTGGCTCTGTCCCTGAGGACACCGTTTATGGGGCTATAAATCACAGCCAGCCTGGACTTTGGTCTAGTCCCTGGTAGGAGAAGGAGGCAGGAGGGCGGGGTGGCCAGAGGCCCTGGGCTTCTGCTTTATCAGTCCAGAGCTGGGGCTCCCTGGGCAGTGGGAAAGATGGAGTGAATAAAAGCCTCTGCACTCTCTATAAAACTGGGATCTCAGATTCATCCTCCCACCCCTCTCAAGCTCTCTAGCCATGGCTGTGTGTGTGCGTGTGTGTGTGTGTATGTGTGTGTATGTCTTTTGTTCATGCCCATGCTTCTTTAAAAAATCTTGCTGCTCTTGGAGCCAGCAGGTGGCATGGTAGTTAAGTTGTTGGACTCCCACATGGCTGACCATGGTTCAAATCCCAGAACTGGTAGCTTGAAAATCATGCCAAGCATGTGTGCATGCATGCCCAGAACCCCAGGAGGAGACTAGAGGACTTGGCCATCCCCTCTAGGGGGAGATTTCTCACTTTCCCTCTCTCTTTCTTTTTCCCCCCACCCCAGCACCCACCTATCTGAGGAGCTGGCCTCATCTCTCATGGCTGGGAGGAAATGCAGCTGTGGGTCTCTGAAACCTGCCCCTTAAAGTGCAGTCTATAGGCCAGCACACTGGGTGTTGGTTAGACGTGCAGGTTCTCACGTCCCACACCAAGCCTACTGAATCAGAATCTTTATCGTGACAGGATTCCTGGTGACTTGCGTTCACACTGAAGTTTGAGAGCCCAGCTCTAAATGTCTAATGTGTAAATGTCTAGAGCGTCCTGACCTCAGCAGCCAGTCTGGACAGCTGGTGGCTCTGTGTGTCCCATGTATGTTCTCACCATCTTGTCTTGCCTGAACCAGTCACGTGCCCTTAGATTTGGGAGTGTGTTTCTCCCAGAAAGCAAATCTGCTTGTCCTTTCTCCAGCCATCAGCCCATTTTCAGCAGCAGTGTCTCTGAGATGGGGAGCTGGGCTAGACTTCAGCCCTCACTGAGGAATCAAGTCTCGCAACCCTTTCAGAAAGTGACCCCGGCCCTCTCCTGTGGGCCTCGAGCTCTCATTTTCTTCCCTCCTTAACCCCCAGAGTACCAGCGCCTCCCAGACAGCACCATCGCCCAGGACGACTACCGCTGCTGGCCTTCCTACCACCACGGTGGCTGCCTCCTCTCAGTGTTCAACCTAGCTGAAGCCGTGGACGTCTGTGAGAGCCATGCCCAGTGCCGGGCCTTTGTGGTCACCAACCAGACCACCTGGACAGGTTAGCCAGTGGGGGAGGGCACTCCAGGGGAGGTGGCTGGACTTCCCCAGAAAAAGGTAACAGGTATTAAGCCTCACTAGAAACCAGAGGGAAGATGAGATCACGACGCGTGCCGACGCGTGCCCTCAGAGCAGGGCATTAGGGAGAGTAGCCCCGCTTGGTGGAGAGAAACATTCAATCCTGTTACCTCTCACCTCTCTTCCCAGGTCGGCAGCTGGTCTTTTTCAAGACCGGATGGAGCCAAGTGGTCCCTGATCCCAACAAGACCACATATGTGAGGGCTTCCAGCTGACCTACCTGAGGGCTCAGCTGCCCCTCCTTGCCTGCCGGGCTTCCCTGCAGAGGGAGCACTACATGTCACCCGGAACCCCTGCAGACAAGACTGACATCCCAGACAGACCGATGTGACCAGGACAAACGTGCAATAATGCGAAATGTTAAAATGTGAGTTTACCAGCCTAGGTGTGGACTGCTAGCTCCCAGGCCAGGAATCATGGGGGCTGCCTCTCTGTGGGCTGTGAGCAAAGCTTAGGCTAGTCTCCCACTGGGGAGTGTGCCCCTTACTGGGACAGTCATGGGGGCAGCCTGTTACTGTGTTCATGGTGTGAGAATGTAGCCAAAGCCCTGCTGCTGCTGCGCATGCCACAGCGGGAGCGGGCTGCGTGGGGACAATCGGTCACGGAGTGTTCTCAGCTTACCTCCAGACAGGAGACTCACCCGGGGCTGCCCCGGGATGTGGGTGATTCTGTCCCTGCAGAGGTCATCTTTGGCCTCCCCACAGTGGGTGCTCCCGGGCCCGCAGGGGTCGGGGCAGAGGTGCATGTCCATTTGAGCCAAGATGGGATGGAGGAGCAGGTTGCGGTTTGAGCCAGGACCTGGGGCGGGGGTGGGGCCGGGCCTTTCTGCCTCATTTGCTTTCAGTGAAAGCCGCAAAGCAGCCGATACCAGGCTCTCCCCCTCCTGGAGTTTGTATATCCAGAAGCTTTTGTACTTCTTGTTCATTAAATTGTTTATTTTTGTAAAAAAAAAAAATTGATCAATTAATAAAATGACGTTTCACAGCAGTAACTCTTGCCTGGCCACGGTTCTTGGGCTGTGACTCACCAGTCCTCAGTCATGTCTCTGTGTACGGTCAGAGTGTGAGTGTTGTGGGGAATGATAAATGCAATCCCAGCAGCAGATGCTTATGTCGCCAAACCGTGTTTTGGGGCCTTCTCCCTGGTGCCCACCTCTCCCCTTGGCCCTCCACATTGTGTCCTGATGAAAGATGAAGGGGTTCCCTTCTCCCCCAAGGAGGTTTCATTATGACACACCCCAGCTTTGTATGTACAAGCACTAACCCCAAGCAGCAGTGTCCTCATGGCAGCATGGCAGCCATCTCAATGAACTGAAAGGTGACGTCGGGGACCCTGGCATCCTGCAGGTGGGACAGCTTCGCCTCTGCACTGGGTTGGGCCTGGCTGTCATCACCGCTATCCACTGCAAACCACAAGCACTTTGTTTTTCCAGAGCCCCTCTCTGAGCAAGAAGTGAATGGAGAGTCTGGAGAAGGGAGGTCGTGGAAAGACTAGTTCCCACTTTCTGGATGTTAGGAGGGAGGGTTTCACAGGGATGTGTGGAAGCCCAGAGGGAGAGCAAAGACCTGAGGATTCAGGATGACACTGTGGCCAGAGAGCACCCCCATGTGAATGCAGGTCTACTCAAAATCCCACACTCTGTCCTATACACCATCCTACTTCAATATCCTTGAAGGACACAAACCTTGGAGGGCCTTAAAATGAATAACCAAACTTAAACTGAGAACTCTCTTTCTCTGTGCTTATGGATGGTACAAGATGTCCCTGTGGTTCTGAAGGATCGAGGAGCCAGTGCTAGCTCTGGAGACCTCACAGATGTGGCTCCAACCCTCAAGGTTGTGGCTCACCACCACCATCTCCATCCCACATCTGGCCTGTCATGCCTCTATACAGTTGTGGGCAGAGAGGAGAGTCAGAGCCCCCACAGGGCCTCACACCATGGTCCACCCAGCCACTCCACCCACTCTCACCATCCCATCATACCCCTAAAAAGGACCTCAGCTTCCATCACCTCCAGGCCTCTCTCCCATGCCAACCTCACCACTCTAGCCCACCCCATGCCAGCCAGTGTCAGATTTTACCTACCTTCTATCATCATCCGTCTGTCCTGCCCATGGAGCTCTTTGGGCAGGAACCATGCCACCAGGCTGGGCCCAAGGAGGTGCCAGAATTGATGAGAACCTGAGGTGAGGGGTGGAGGTCAGGAGGTCTGTGAGGGCTGTGTCCAGAGAGACAGCTTGCAATCTGTAGTGGCCCACTGGGCTCAGAAGTCGAACGATTCTGTGGGGAAAGAGAAGGCTGCATTGTCTTTCAGGCTTCGAGAGGTTTCCAGATGAGGGGTTTACTAGCCCACGCAGAGGGGCAGAGGAGAGTGACACAGAGGCCCAGGCTCTTGCCTCAGTGAGGTACAATTACTCCAATTTTACAGACCTAAAACCAAAGCCTAGGTCCCAGCTGCTAAGTGATTTAGTGAGCCTGCAAATCCAGCCCAACTCAGGCCAGCCGGTGGTGTGGTGGTTAAGGCAGTTGGATCCCGCATGGCCGACTATGGTTTGAGTGCTCAACCCAGTGGCTTAAACAAACATACTGAGCATGTGTGCATGTGTGTCCAAAATCCTGAGAGGAGAATGGAAAAGAAGATATATCATGGCCATCCCCCGGGGAGTGAGTTCTCACTTTCCCTCTCTCTGTCTCTCTGACTCGCTCATGAGCACGCACACCCTATAGCAAAGACTAAAGAAAAAAAATCCAGCCCAACTCAAAGCCTGTGCTCTGTTCAGTACCGCATGCTGCCTCCAAGAGGAGAGAATTGCAGCGAGAGGAAACTAAGTTAGAGAAGTTCCTCCTTAGCATGTGTGACGAACTGAAGTGGAAGTTCAAAGAACATAACATCTTTTCAGACAGACTCACTGACAGGGGGCTGAAGCAATGGCAGACAGCTTTGTTCCTCAGTGAGTGAGCCTTGCCTCAGAACTTATTCTTAGGAGCAAAAATGGCCAGGCTCAGTACTGCACAGCAGATAGGGGCATTCGCAACCAGAAATGGAGAGCCGATGGAGTGCCCAGAAAGGAAGGAGAGAGCGAGAGAAAGCCTGAGGCAATGGCCATTCACATGTAGCCCCCTGTCTCCTCAGAGAACCTCCAGATCCTGGGTACTTTTGTCCTTCCAAAAGCCAGAAACATTTCACTCCTCCCTCTCCACCCAAGGCCTACATTCTTTCTGCTCCCCTGCCAGGCCAGTAACACCCAGGTGTAGTGGATGGAAGAATTATATTCACCCAACTGAAGTCTCAGTGCTGTGTACCAGAGGAGCGAAGGAGGGTGCTTGGGGGGGGAGGGGCAGTTGTACTGTCCAGAGCAGGGGAACATAGAAAGCACCATGGGAGAAGTAGTGTACCCTCACGGTTTCCAGGAGGCTCTAGAGCCACTGGAGCTAGGCAGGGATCCTGGACGGTTCTGCTTTTAGCTCACTAACTGATCTGGGCCATGGCAACATCCCTGAGCCTCTGTTTCCTCATCTACAAATTTCAGATTAATAATATCTGCGCCAGTGGAGCATTAGAGGGATCAGATGAAATTAGAAGACTTAGCCAGTGTCGGCATGCAGTAAATGCGCAGGAAATACAGCTGGTTCTCTGTATTTAGGTTCTGCATCTATGATCAAAAATAATTCATTGTTACTGATGTGTGCTGTGTAATCAGGCCAATGATGGCTACATTCATACTGAACATGCTTCGACTTTTTTCTTCTTATTATTGCCTAAATGCTATAGTATAACACCTATTTGTATAGCATTTCCATTGTATGAGATATTATAAATGATCTAGAAATAATTTAAAGTATACAGGAGAATGTACATAGGTCATGTGCAAATATTATGCCATTTTATATCAGGGACTTGAGCATACAAAGAGTTTGGTAGCCAGTTGGGGGGGGGGTGTTTGTTGTCCTGAAATCAATCCCCTGTGGTTATGGAGGGATGACTATATTGGCTGATACTGTCATTGTTATTTGTCACCTGAGCCCTCAATGTTCATCCATGGCCTGGCCTAGAAGGACACCCAGGTTGGCTGGTGGGGACTGGCTCCACCCCCCTTCCAACCTTTCCAACAGAGAACACTGTTACCAACTTGGGGAGGTGGGGCCCAGCTGTCTGGGTCAGCACCTTGGGAGTTGAGTGTATGGCAGGCAGGAAGAGGAAGAGGATTAATGTGAAAACAGAAAGGAGGATCAGGAGGCCCCAAGATAATGGGCCAACCCACTCCCACCCATGACTTCTTGCTTTCACTCTCTGATTCTGGAGCCTAGAGTGTGGAAGACGTTGTTGCCCCTAGTTTACTAGGAAAAGGGGACTGAGCTGCCACTGGCCATGAGGTGTACTTTCTCATTGAATCCTCATGGCAGCTCTGTGAGATGGGTGATGGTCCAGAGAGAGCAACAGCTGGGATGCAGCCTCAGCTACTATCCCCAAAAGCTTGTGTTGCTTCCTCCTCAGCCAGGAGCACAGTGGATCAGTGATCCATTCACACCTGACTCTTATCCTTTGAGAAATTACCAGGCTCAGATCCTGACTTTGGTAGGAAGAGACTTGGCTGGCCTCTCCAGCATCATCCCACAAGAGTGAGGTTGTCCCCAAAGAACCTGACCTTTAAGAACCCTCTAGAGGGGAACTTTTCTTTTCTTTTCCCCCAGTTCACCTCTGTACATTTCAGCCAATGCTACCACCTCAAGTAGATAAAGCACTCTGTCAGTCCCAAGTATGTGAAGGAGATGGACCAAGACATTTCCTGAAATTATCTGTCAAGCTCTGGAAGATCCCTGACAATTGTGTTTGTGAGAAGTCCATTCTGTCATCCCCACATCAGTGAAGGCTCCTTTCAGACCCCTTCTTTCAGGATTACAACCACTTGTCCTCCTGCTCCATCCCTCACCTTCTCTCCTGCCCTTCTCTGGCCTCATTCCAACTGCAGGATGTCCTTCCTGAGGTGCGGTGACCACACCTGCTTCATCACGTAAGTCCCAACAGAAAACAGAGCACAACGAACATAAGATACATTTACAAATGTGTGGGTATGGGGAGCCCAAAGTGATTGCACTCTAGCCTGGGGCCAGTAGCAGCTGAGCTGTTGTCCTCTCTCTCCCAGGGGAAGGGAGTGGGAGCCGATACCCTGAAGGAGAACCCGGAAAGAGTCATGTAGAGTTTGCACCTCTCACAGAGAAATAAGTGACTAAAGGACACAGAGCCAGACAAGGAGGAGCATATGCCCTCATCTCACTTTCCTGCCTCCCCACAGTCTCCTGCAGAGCTCTCCACTGGCCAAATCCAACTGGAAAGCAGAAGGCAAGGGAGCTGGATGCGAGGCCCAGAATTGTCAGCCAGCAAACTCCCAAGACAGAGCACAGGCTGGGAAAGGAGGAGAACAGACCAGGAGCACACCACCCATGTCACATTGGAACCCAAGTTTGGCTTGTGGGGGAGGTGGAGGAGACAAAGAAGACTTATTTTTTTTGTCCCCAGTTCCATCCTTAGATATTCAGCTATTTGTTGTTCTGTTTGGACAAAGTAGCACCCAAAGTTTAGGCCCAAACTTTTGGGGAGTCCTCTACAGCATGCATTCTCAACAGAGCCATTATCATCCCCACCGAGATAAAATTTGGGGGCCTGCAGGTGCCATAGTGGTTAAAGGCACTGGACTCCCACATGACCAATTGCGATTTGAGTTCCAGACATGGTGGCTTGCTTTCTCAGTTTTCCCCTCTCCCTCTCTCTCTCTGTCTCTCTCTGGTCAAATTGAAAAATAAATAAATAAATAAAATAATTCTTTTTTAAAAAAAAGATTAAAACTTGCTTCTTAGAAGATAGAAAAGCTGAGCTATCACAATGACTCATGGCCCTCCAAAGATTCACTGGGCATTAATGGATATACAGTATTTATATGTATGCTATTAAAATGTCATGGGAACTGTGGCAATTAATGAAAGTATTT